CCAGGAGTGAATACGACACTTCATTTTCAATATGAAAGGCTACATAACTTCTGTATCACTTGCGGGCTTCTCACTCATGAGGCTAAGGAATGCCCCCAAAGGAAGGCAGATGAGGACCATGATGATCCACATGAAGATGGCGGCCATGATGACGAAGACAAGCCAAATGATCCTGTTGATGCCCCCCAGAGCCTTCCAGACAACACTCACAGAATCTTAACCGCCCCGGACGAGACCAATACCAAAGATACAGATGGTCATCATGATGCCTACAATGCACCGTTTGAAATTAAAGATGACACAGACATGCTTTCTGAGTCTTGGCGTTACCTTCAGGCCAAAATGGACAAGGGGAAATTCACTGAAGGAGATTTCACAACCCTCTTACATGACTACATTGATCAGGAAGAAACTTCAGGATTCACTCCTGCCAAACGGGCTAAAGTGGAAGAGATGTTACGCCGTTTCGACAATTCTGAGTCCAATTTCATGGCACCTTCATACCACAGGGGCTTCACTGATGATTCACATCCTATAATCCTCGGCATCACACAGAAAGGCGTTGTCTTCTTTGAACAAAATTACTCTGCGATGTCTTCTGATTTTGATGCATTCGTTTCTCATAAACCAGAACTGGAATTGGTATCCCAAACACGACATAAGAGAAAATTTACAGAGGATACATTGACTGCAACTACAACCGGTGCTAGCTTGAAGATTGAAGTCGAAGATTTCTCTCCAAGTAAGAGACAAGTACTATTACCCCATATTGCGGATGAACATTGCTTGTTGCTTCCGATCAAATCAGAACTGTCTGATGACTCTAAAGACTCGTGCAACACTGCTGCTGTAGGGAATGATGAAGCTGATCAAGGGGATCGCTTCCCTTACCATCTCTGACAAACAACATGAAGATCTTATCATGGAATTGCCAAGGTTTGGAATCACCCTTGACAAAACCATGATTGAAGGAACTTTGCCGTCAAGTATCTCTTGATATATTGTTCTTAGTGGAAACTATGAACAACTGCGACATAGTTAGAGATATTTGTGTTACCTTAGGTTTTGATTCAGTATTCACAATACCTCCACAAGGACAAAGTGGAGGATTGACTCTTTTCTGGAAACAGGATGTATGTATTACTCATGTGTACTCCTCGAACCGGATGATTGATGTCTTTGTTAATTTCAATGGATTGCAATTCTATTTGTCTTGTGTTTATGGAGATCCAAACCAATCAGTTAGACATGATCTATGGGAAAGAATTGAGCGCATAAATCAAAACAGAATAGGTCCTTGGTTACTAGTAGGAGATTTCAATGAAATCTTATCAAATAAAGAGAAGAGAGGAGGTTCTTTGCGTACTGAACGAAGCTTTCAGGATTTTTGAAACTTGTTCGCTTCCTTTGATTTTTTTGGATTTACCTTACAAAGGAAACACATTCTCTTGGCGAGGAAATAGGGGTCAACATCGAATAAAATGTTGTCTAGATCGATCTATTGCAAATACACAAGCTGCATTCCCCGGATCAGTTGCTGAATTTCATAGATTTTGTGCTTCTGATCATCGACCACTTGTAATGACAATCACCATTGAAGGCTACTTTATTCAAAAGCCTTTTCGTTTCGACAAACGTCTCTTCCAACACCCATAATTCAAATCATATGTCCAAAAAGAATGGCATTTTTAATCAAACGCGAGAATTTCTTTCCAGGATCGAATCAGAAATGTACAACATGCTCTGAACCAATGCCGCCAAAAATCTAAAACCAACTCAGCAAAACAAATTGATCGCCTCCAAATTGATTTAGATTTCACTCTTACTGCTGATGATCCAACACCGTACAATATCCCACAGATCCGACGTGAATTTGCTCAAGCTTACTCCAATAAAGAGACTTATTGACACCTCAAGAGCAGGAACTCATGGCTGCGTTCGGGAGATAAAAATACTTCCTTCTACCATGCTGTAATACAGGCAAGATATTCCAGAAATCGGATACATAGAATTAAGGATGTCAATGGCAATATTCATAAAGGGGATCGGGAGATAGGAGAACATGCGGAAGCTTATTTCTCTCAAATGTATTCCAGCGATAATCATAGCATTGATTATAATATTTTTGATAATCTTCATGCCTCCGTAACACCAGAAATCAATGACCATATTACAAGAGATATTACACGAGCAGAAATATTTAAGGCTGTCACTGCGATTGGAGCTGACAAAGCGCCTGGCCCAGATGGAATCACAGCACGCTTTTATCAACACTGCTGGGATATTGTCGGTAACGATGTTACAAAGGAAGTGCTTACATTCTTCACTACATCAACTATGAAAGATGGACTTAACCATAGAAATATATGTATGATACCCAAGATAAAAACCCCGGTAACCCTCTCTGATTACAGACCTATTGGATTATGTAATGTTTTCTGCAAAATCATTTCCAAAATCCTTGTTACAAGGTTAAAAAAATTCTTAGCTACAATTGTATCTGATACACAAGCTGCGTTTATGCCGGGATGTTTAATCTCTGACAATGTCTTAGTTGCTCATGAACTTATGCACTCCCTTAAGAGTCGAAAGCATGTCTCGCAAACATATGTGGCAATCAAAATGGATATGTCTAAAGCTTATGACCGAGTTGAATGGGATTTTCTTGAAGAAACAATGAAAGCTTTTCGTTTGAATAACAGATGGATTGGTTGGGTAATGGCAGCCGTCCGCTCTGTTAGTTACTCGGTTCTCATTAATGGAAACCCCCGAGGACATATTATTCCACATTGAGGGTTACGCCAAGGAGATCCTCTTTCCTCTTACCTTTTTATACTTTGTGCTGATGTTATGAGTCATTTATTGGATCAAAAAAGTCAACGCAGAAAGCTTAATGGCATTAAAATAGGGACCGGCGTTCCAAGAATTACACACCTCTTCTTCGCAGATGACTCTCTTTTCTTTTGCCAAGCAAATGAAAAGAACTGTACTGCTATACGTGATGTTTTCAAGCTATATGAAAAATGTTCAGGGCAACGGATCAATCAACAAAAATCCATGATAACCTTTGGCTCCCGTATCCCTGGACAAAAACAAGAACGGTTAAAGCGGATTCTCGGCCTTATGAGCAATGGTGGTGGTGGAAAATACCTAGGCCTCCCCGAACAGTTTGGTCTTAAGAAAAAAGATACATTCGCCAAATTTATTAATCATGTTAAACAGAAAACATCCTCTTGGAGCTCAAAACTATTATCCGCTGCTGGGAAGGAAGTATTACTGAAATCTGTCGCTCTTACAATGCCAGTATACTCTATGTCTTGCTTCAAACTCCCAAAGCAAGTAACGACTGAACTCGATAGTGTGCTTACTCGGTTTTGGTGGGCAAAAAACCATGACTCAAAAGGTATTCCGTGGGTGGCATGGAAACGTCTTCAATCAAAACTAGAAGGCGGTTTGGGATTCAAAGATTTAACTAAATTTAATGATGCTCTGCTTGCCAAACAAGCTTGGCACCTACTTCAACATCCTGACTGTTTGTTCTCAAGACTATATAAATCAATATATTTTCCGGATGACCATCTATTTGATGCCAAAAATAAGAAATGTCAATCTTATGGGTGGACTTCTATTTTATGTGGAATTGATCTTATACAAAAAGTATCACGGCGAATTATAGGATGAAACATCAAAGTTTTTAAAGATAAATGGATACCCACTCACCCCCCCTCGACCAGCAGTTCAGATTAATGATATGAGTAGCACTCTTTTAGTAAAAGATTTAATCACCAATAATGGTGATCGCCACACTGGAATGAATCTACTCCGTCTGCGACTCTAAATGCTGATGATTGTGTCTTAGCCAAAACAATATACTTGGGACAACGCAACAGACCGGATAGCATTTGTTGGAACTATACAAAAAACGGTCAATACTCTGTCCGCTCAGGATATCGTTTTTTACGCCATCTCCCTCAACACCAAATTAACGCACCCACGATCCCATACAATGACTCATTGCTTAAATTACAAATATGGAAATTAAACATTATGCCTAAGATAAAACAATTTCTATAGAAAATTATGTCCAAGGCAATAGGCACTACTACACGCCTACAGAGTCGCATAGTGTTATTAGATGAATACACCTTTCAACTTCCTTACTACTCCTACAAATGATATTGATACAGTATTCAACCATATTATTGCTGCTCAAAACATTGATTTTATACCCCAAACTGATCGGCTTCTACCTTTCTGGCTTCTTTGGCAAGTATGGAAACCACGTAATAATTTTATTTTCAACAAAGAAAAAATAAAAATTACTAAAGATGTGAACAAAGCTAGAGCAGAAGTTATTGATTGGATCAGAGCTACTACAGCTACTCCGGATAGTTTGGATACTCCAACATCGTCGTCAACTTTACCAGTGTTAGCGGCTTGGACAAGACCACCGCCACAAACTTTCAAATGCAATTACAATGCAACATATAACGTACAAACCCAGTAAGCTACAGCAGGATGAATTATCCACGACTGTCATGAGCTTTATATCTCATATGAATCTACACCTTTAGACCCTGCAATATCCAGTCTTAAAACTAAAGGGAAAGCTCTAATGTTTGCTTTACTCCATACATGACGGCTTGGGATCGATAATATATGTTTTGAAGGAGACTGTCAAATTCTAACGAAACTAATCCATGAAGAACTCCAAGATATTACTGTCCGTCATCTTATCTATGATATTCAACATTGACTATCTAAGTTTTCTTCGGCTTCTCTAAATCATGTCAAACGTTATTGTAATAATGCTGCTCATGTTATTGCTAAATATGTACCCTTATGCTGTAACTTTTAATACTAACTCTTATCCACCTTCTTGGATAACTGATACATTGTATTCGATAATAAAATTATTCTTTCGAAAAAAAAAAATCTCAATTTAATTAATAAAAATATTTTCTCGTCGCTAAAAGAGGAAAAATTTTGAAAATATATAAACGACATTACCGTCCGAACGATCTAAATCGTCAAAACCGCACGTCTTTCTCTGCAACTGTTCCGACTTCTGAGGTAGTCTCAGATTCCCTCCGCGAACACGATGTCGTTCGATGAAGAGGAGGACGAGACCTTCGAGCACACCCTTCTCGTGGTGCGCGAGGTCTCCGTCTACAAGATCCCACCGCTACCCACATCCGGCGGCTACAAGTGCGGCGAATGGCTCCAGTCCGATAAGATCTGGTCCGGTCGTCTCCGCGTCGTGTCTTGCAAGGACCGGTGCGAGATCCGCCTGGAGGATCCGAGCTCCGGCGATCTCTTCGCCGCTTGTTTCGTCGATAACGGACGGCGAGATAACTCCGTCGAGCCGTGTTTGGATTCGTCGAGGTACTTCGTTCTGAGGATCGAGGACGGCCGTGGGAAGCACGCGTTCGTCGGGGTCGGGTTTGGGGAGAGGAACGAGGCGTTTGATTTCAATGTCACCTTGTCGGATCACGAGAAGTACGTTAGGAGGGAGCAAGAGAAGGAGATTGGGGAAACGAGTGAGAGCGATGATCATATTGATATTCATCCCGCGGTTAACCACAGGTTGAAGGTAAAAAAATCGATCTGTTCTTTAAGTAAGCCTTTTGGAATTGAAGGTGCGATCAATGCGTAATTTGATAAGTTGATAGAAACTCGGAATCGAATTGCATTTTGGAGTTGGATTCAGTTCGATGCGCTCATGGGAAAATCAAAAATTGTTCATGGGTAGTGTTTTATGATCAGAAACTTGTTTTGGGTTGCATCGTTTTGCAATGTTGATGATTCGATTGTGCTCAAGTTTATGTTAACATGATTTCTCAGTTCTTGAAACGTTCTTCAGCATGTTGTTGCTACAAACTGGGAGAATCTCATAGGCTTGTTTTGATCATTACCTTAAAAGGCAATGAATGACCTTAAGATCTTGTCTTGCTCAGAATAGTTTAAAGGAAGATTAGTTATGGAATCAGATTGATGTTGCTGAAATGGAAGATAGATCTTGGTCTACATAAACGGTTCAGAATCACAACTGCTCTACTCTGGGATAATATTCATAATTAGTTCAGAGTCCACTTCAGGGTATCTGACTCAAGATTAATAATAGCAAATTTTCTCAGTTTAGAGTAGGATCATGTTGTATTGTCAAGTTTGTAGTAGAAATTAGTAACTAAATTAGCAAGAAAATCCTTCCAGATTCAGTATATCAAACTTCGTTGCTTTACTCATGACAAGTGTTTATAACAGAGTCTGAATAGTAATCTAAAAGCTGATCTTTTTTTCTTACGTTGTTGTTTGGTGTGCAGGAAGGTGAAACCATTAGAATCAATGTGAAACCGAAACCAACGACCAGTGGAACCGGAATGCTCTCGACCGCTCTTTCGGGTAACGGGAAACCTAAACCGGCGCTATCGCTTGCGCCACCATCAGGCGGCGTTGGAAAAATCAGGTCTCCTTTACCACCGCCTCCAAATGATTCCGTGACCTCGAGGGTAACATCCGATGGTTGTAAAGAATCAACAGAGAAGGCAAGAACCAAGAATGATCCACTCTCTGATTATTCTCAGCTCAAGGTTTCTTAATTGCATTTTTTTTAAACCAGGCCATTTTTTGTTAGAACTCTGTTATGTAGAAGCTTTCTTCATTGTTGTTTAGGAAAAACTTCCTTCAACCAATTCGACAGGAGCTGGATGGGCAGCTTTCTGATCACCGGAGGATAAATTTTTGACGGTCGATGGAGATTGTTCGGCTTCATATAGTTACTGTAGAGACATTGAGAAAAAGGCCCTCTCATTAAGACAAGATTGGTAAATCAGAGATTATTAGTATAAATAGCTTGTGTTTCTGGTGGATCGTCTTTCCTCGTTTCTTCCTAAACCCGTCTACACTGTGGACGGATCAAATTGTTTTCTAAACTAAGAATACTGATTATATCTGTTTAACTAAAGTGCTAATGCGTTTTTTTTTTTTTTTTGGCAGTAGAAAGAAAAGGATTAGAATAGAATATTCAAAGAAATTCTTATTTTCTTATATATATATTTTTTTTTTTTTATTACTTTTTTTATTTGAATTGATAGTCGTACCTCGTGAAAAAAGATTTTTTTGTCGAAATTAGTAATTTAGTTGTAATGTATCTTAAGTAAGAACACTAAACCATTTTTGCTAAACAAAAAATTAATCAAACCGTTTCAAAATTTCTAGTTGTTTGTTTTAACCATCTATTAAAAATCCTGTTTCAACTTTCACTCCATTGTCCAATTTAATAACCGAGATAGTGGTTCAACTACCAACCGCCTCTAACCAGTAAGAAAATGCTAACTATCAAAATCAAAAGTTTTTATTTCAGAATTGGTGGTAACGTAATATCATTTTATTCCCATCGGATCTTCAACTTTGCTAAATTTGAGCTTAATAGTGTTATTCAAATAGATAGTGGTGTTGGTGTTTTTTCCTTGTCGTTTATTTGTCGGTGAGCAACACTCACTGACGTGGCAACGTTCTGCTGGTGATGCGTATCACGAAAGACTAGTGAAGTATGTAAATCTAATGGACAGAAAAGTGCATGACGTGGCTGAAATCTGATGGCTTATCTGGTCTTCGTTGAAACGGAACGTATATAAACGACGACAGATTTAACGGAGGAGGGAAAAAACGTCGGTCACCGAGTAAACACCACAATACTCTCTCTCTCATCTGATTGTTTTGATCTAAAAAAATGGCGGAGAAAGATGCGACGGCGAGAAGCGACGGTGGCGATGGCGGTGCGATTAGGGTTAGCGGAATGCAGTTTTCGTACGAAGCCCAAGATCCTATATTCTTCGATTTCAACCTCGATCTCCCCGCCGGATCTCGTTGCCTCTTGGTCGGTGCCAATGGATCTGGTAAATACGATCGAAATGTTTCCTTTCTTGTATTCCGAATTGCATTTTGCGGTTTCTCTTTTTATAAATCTAATTAGATCGATTTTGCGGCTAAGGATTCGATTCTTCTGCTTTTTTCTTCATAGACTGAGGATTTTCAAAATTAACCTTATGGCCTTTTACGAATGTGGAATCATTCTTTTGATTCTGTTCGGGTAGTGCTCGAATTCAACTTTTCATGTAGAAATTTTGGGGTTTGTATGATTGGTTCGGCTGGGAAATTTAGAAGATGATGATCGTAATTGCGTGTTTTGTATTGACATTTTTGATTTTTTGGTCAGGCAAGACCACTTTATTGAAGATTTTGGCGGGAAAGCATATGGTTGGAGGGAAGAACGTAGTGCAAGTGCTGGATCGATCAGCTTTTCATGATACACAGCTTGTTTGTAGTGGTGACTTGTCTTACCTCGGAGGTTCATGGAGTAAAACAGCTGGTTCTGCTGTGAGTACAAGAGTTTGTTGAGAACATTATCAGATTCGATTTTATATGTTTTGTTTCTTAACTCTTTGATTAATTGAAATTTTAGGGTGAGATTCCTCTTCAGGGAGACTTCTCAGCAGAGCATATGATATTTGGAGGTTTGTATTCTCTGTCCTGTCGAAGAAGACACTGTTTTTTGTTACTTTCTTGTGTTTATTATACTCAAAGAGGGATATGTGTGTTGTGTTTTTTTGTTTTGCAAGCAGTTGAAGGAATTGATCCTGAGAGAAGAGAGAAGTTGATTGATCTTCTTGATATCAATCTTCAATGGCGTATGCACAAGGTTTCTGATGGGCAGAGACGCCGAGTGCAGATATGCATGGGTCTTTTACATCCTTTCAAGGTAAAAAGATTCGATTCCGTGATCTGAAACTCACTTAAACTCGTCATCTCTGATTCGTAAATTGTATATGTGATTTGTGATCACAGGTGTTGTTACTGGACGAGGTTACTGTTGACCTCGACGTTGTTGCTAGGATGGATTTGTTGGAATTCTTCAAAGAAGAGTGTGAACAAGTAAGCGCCATTCACTAAGTTCATGGATTATGCAAGGACACAGAAGCTTTCTCAGTTTGGTTCTTGTTGCGTGACTTGCGTCTTCATGATCCGGTTTAGTTAGAAACATAGAATGTTGATATACTTTTTTTGATAATTGACCAGAGAGGAGCAACGATTGTATACGCAACTCATATCTTCGACGGACTAGAGACATGGGCTAGTCATCTTGCGTATATTCATGCCGGAGAGCTGAAACTCTCGGCGAAGCTGAACGAGATCAAGGATCTGAAAACTTCACCAAATCTGCTCTCTGTGGTTGAATCTTGGCTTCGGTCTGAAACCAAAGTCGAGAAGAAGACCAAGAAGAAACCTGTTGTTACTTCTCCATTTATGTCGTCTAGACAAATGGCTTATTACCGGTGAATCGTAACTTCTGTCAGAGGTCATTATCAAAGACCGGCAAGAATAAGACCACTTCACATTTGCCTTTGTTTTTTTTCCCTTTATTTATTTTGTAGATTTCGCCAATTTTATGACATTTAAAAAGAAATCTGTCAAGTTAACGTTTCATAATTAAATTAAAAATATTTCCTTTTTATTATTATGCCAATCTTTTTGAGAGTATATAACTATCCAGATCCGGCTCATTTGAATATGTTTAAATAGAATAATTTGGTTACGTATGTCACCAAAATGTATTTATTTTTTTCGGGGTTAATGAGCATGAGAAAATTTCAGAATTAAGCGTGTTTGAACTAGAGCAGGACTATAATTGGTGATTTTTTGGAAATTTCTGAAACTGTGTAAGTAAAATCAAAACACGGAAAAATAACATATCGACCATCGGACAGAGGCGGAATCCACAAACCCAATAAAGGGATGGTGACTCATCGAAGCGGTCGGAGTGTTACAATGCACCACTATTTTATATTAAAATATATATGGTCAATATGCCTAATAACCATATTATACTATAAAATAAATAATACTATAACTATGCTATTCACATAATCTATATTATAAAGATGACCAACTCTCTCCAGTTGAGTACCATCTCATCATTTTGTTATTTTTTAAAATTTAATAATACAAATTATATAAAATACAATTAATGCATAAATTAATTATTATTAATCATAATACTAAAGAATATGAAGAATATGAAAAATATGAGGTAATAGAGAATAGATTTTAACAACATTATATACTTAATATCCAAAATAAATTATTGAATATATATTTTTTGATAGTTTTTAAAATCATTAAAACAATTTATGTTTCTTATTTAAGAGTGTTTTCTTATTTCTTATTAATATCATAAGTTATTACTATAAAAACAATTATACAAATATAAAAATAACAATTATTTGATATTTTGAACTTTAAAAAATTAGAAGAAAAATTTATACAATATTATAATAAACTGTTAAATAATTTTTTTATAAACTAATAATTATTTGATATTTTATTTTATTCAAACTTGATCCATTAATAATTTTTAAATTATTAAGATATCAAAGTCCTAATATATTTATTTATACGATGTTTCATACAGCTGTATAAATTAGAATTATAAATTAATTATTTAAGTTAATAAAAATATAATATATAATATATAAATATAAAATCGGTTTAACATCAATTTTTTATAAAACAAAAACCTGCGTGTATGCGCGGATACTCTCCTAGTAAATTTAATAACCAAGATTTCTAACTTTTATCTTTTTTATCTCTCAAACTAAAATTGTGAAAAAAACAATATGTACCATACTATACTATAGCAGCTTATATTATTAAACTATATTATTTATAAAAATAGTTATTTTATAAAAATAGTATTATATTATATTTTTGTAATAAAATATAAATATATAAGATCTAAATGTTTGATACATTAATAATTGCTTAAATGTGTATAATAAATCAGAAATAAAAAATGAAAGATATTATTTCATATTAATAATTGCTTAAATGTGTATAATAAATCAGAAATAAAAAATGAAAGATATTATTTCATATTCATGTATAAATTTAATTGGTATGTGAAGTTATATATGTAACCAAACTTTGAAATAGTAATTAAAGATATTGTATTATCATATAATATTATAGCATAATATAAATAAATGAAAAAATTAGAATGAAGGAGAAAATTTTAAATAATAAAGAAAAAAAGCAAAAAAGGACAATAATCTCACCTCATGTCCCTCTCTCTATATATTGTAAAAATAAGGATAATTTTGTATTAATACATAAAATATAGAGTATATTCTAATCAAAGCTTTATAATGATTTCTCTGTCAATTTATAAAAAAAATATATATTTATTGTTGCCAATTTCTCAAATTTATATCAATTAAAATCAATTTTTCACATTTAAAAAAGAGCAAAATTTAACATACAAAATCAAATGCTTATTGTATGCACTCTCTCTCTCTACCGTACAACAACAAAAACGTTTGTGTATAGCGTTTGCGTCTGTAGTTTCTTAAAGAAAAAAATTGTCTAACAAAAAGAAACTAAATTACTATTAGCAAAACAGTATTTGCATGAATACAGACTGTTCGAGCATGTTTCGCTTAACCTCTCAATATTCAAAAAAAAAAAAAAAAAACACCGTATTAATTTTTGTTCTTTTCAGATATAACTTTCTTTTTAAATTGTTTCCTGCACAAAAACCTTAATCAGGAATCGGATATTATTGTTAATTTATCCGACTGTACACCCAAACTTTTTTTTTAAAAAAAAACAAATTTTCTTTTCTAGAGGAAAAATCCACAAAAGCGACGACAAAAAAAAAATGTCACAAAATCTCCATTTCCTCTCTTCCCTCTTTCTAATTTCTTCGTAGTAATTTACCCAAATTTCTTTTCCTTTGATTCACCGAAATTTTGATCCCTTTCTCAATTTTCGAGTCAAAATCCATCTAAAATTCTGTGCTTTCTTCTCTAAATCTCTCGAAATTACTCCGATTTCTAATCTGTTTAGGGTTTCCATCGCCTAATTAACTCGGCTTTAAAATTGGCGATCGGTTTCCTTCGGTGAACTGTTTGGGGCTCCGAATTTTATCGATTTCGTGGTGGGTTTGGTTTTTTGAAGCGATCACGATGATGTTTTCTAGCTGATGGCGAATTGACTAGCTGGAATCAGGATTATGATGTTCCATTATCTTTCTACAACAATGGATCTCTGAAGATTTCTTCGAATGTTTTGAATCCAAGGATTGTCGTCTAGAGGATTTTTCTTTATTTCTGGGGGTTAAATGCTGAATTGGAAAACAGATCCAGGAGCAAATTGAGGAAGAGGAGGGTTCGTTTGATATTTTGATTTTCGAATTTGAGGTTTTTTGTTTTTGCTCAAGTGATCGGAGAAGATGGATCATGTGATTGGTGCGAAGTTTAAGCTTGGAAGGAAAATTGGTAGTGGATCATTTGGAGAGCTTTATCTAGGTAGGTGAAAGGAAGACGAATCCCTTTTTAATTTTTTTTTTTTTTAAAATCTTCTAAATAAGATTTTTGGTTTAACATGTTTTTTGATCATTTTTGCAGGTGTAAATGTCCAAACAGGAGAAGAAGTTGCTGTCAAGCTGGTAAAAATTTGCCACATTTAACAAAAATTTGAATCTTTAATGCTTTTTTTGATAATGCAAATGCAAAAAATAACTGCTTTTTTCATGTGAAGTTGTTGTTTGTAAAATTCTTTTCACATGAAGACGATGAGGAGTTGCTTTCTCGTCTCATTAACGTGACCTTGCTTTGTCTTTTGCATCTGCTTCTCTAATTTTTGCCTTCACTCAATTCAATTCTCAGGAATCTGTCAAGACCAAGCATCCCCAACTTCATTATGAGTCCAAGCTGTATATGCTGCTTCAAGGAGGAAGTAAGTCTCGCTTTACACTAGTTTCGTTGATGAGATAGGCTTCTCTTCATTGCGTATGCTTCTTCTTCTTCTTTGGGAGATCAAGAAGCGTGTAGACAAGCTTTTATTGGTTTGAAAATTACTAAAAGGTTTTTTCTTTTTGTTTGTTTGTTTCCTTTCTCTCTGAAGCTGGGATTCCGAATCTCAAGTGGTTTGGAGTTGAAGGTGAACACAGCGTAATGGTTATTGACCTTCTAGGTCCTAGTCTTGAGGACTTGTTTAACTACTGCAACAGGAAGTTCACCTTGAAAACTGTTCTCATGCTTGCAGACCAACTTGTGAGTATATATACATGTCTCTGTTAAATTGGTTTTCAGCTCTTCTTGTTCCCCTGAATATATATGAATTTGTTAGTAATGAAGGAGTATTGTTTTCTTCTCTGTGTACACGTTTCAGCTTAACAGGGTCGAATACATGCATACTCGAGGTTTCCTTCACCGTGATATAAAGCCTGATAATTTTTTAATGGGGCTTGGACGCAAAGCTAATCAGGTACTAAAATCTAACTCGATGTTTGTGCTTTATACATCATATGTGATTGTGATGGTGCTTTTTTGTATCAACCTTGTTAGATAACTGTTGTTTTTTTTTTCTTTTCAGGTGTATATCATTGATTACGGATTAGGGAAGAAATACAGAGACCTTCAGACTCACAAGCACATTCCTTACAGGTAAGATAATATACCATGTTCTCTTGTTTCTACTATCCTTACTCAAGTATCCGCATAATTGAATCCTGATGTTACGTGAACTTAAAAGGAAAAATCATTCTTTTGTGACAGAGAAAACAAAAATCTCACTGGCACGGCTCGGTACGCAAGTGTCAACACTCACCTTGGAGTCGGTAAGAGTTCTGTTCTGTGGTTATTGACTTATTATATATAGTTTTGTATTTTTCGTCCGATACTTAAGTAGGTGATGGTGTTTGAAACAGAACAAAGTCGAAGAGATGATTTGGAATCACTTGGTTATGTGCTTATGTATTTCATCAAAGGAAGGTAAAGAATCTACAGTTTTTTCCAACATCTGTATATTTTGTTGGACAAAATTTAAACTCTATTCATGTTTCTTTTTGGTATCAGCTTACCATGGCAGGGATTAAAAGCTGGGACAAAGAAGCAGAAATATGACAGAATCAGTGAGAAGAAAGTATCAACACCTATAGAGGTAAAACAACTTGATAATCCCATTGGATCTCATTGATAGCTTAATTTTAGCTTAGTATGTTCATGGAAATGTTTCTATGTAGGTGCTGTGTAAAAACCAACCGTCTGAATTTGTTTCTTACTTCCATTACTGCCGATCGTTACGGTTTGATGACAAACCTGATTACTCTTACCTTAAGAGGCTTTTCCGCGACTTGTTCATCCGAGACGGTTCTTATCTTATCTTATCTCAACATCATTATCTTTGACAAGTTTTGCTTTACTGTTTCAAGCCACTCTCGTCTCATATTTTGTGTCAAATTGTTGAAACTCTTGCTTGTAGGTTACCAATTCGATTATGTATTTGACTGGACAGTCCTTAAGTACCCTCAAATCGGTTCCAGCTCTGGTTCTAGCTCACGGACAAGGGTGATTTTTCATTCTTTTCGTTTAGTACGTTTACTCTCGTGGCTTTTTGAGTTACTTTATGCTTACATGTAAAAAAAACTTCTGGTATCGCAGCAACATACAACCACGAAACCAGGATTCAACACAGGTCCTTCTATCGAAAGACAAGACAGGACCGCAGGTAAAATTTCACACTCCTTGCTTCCATTGGAAATCACAGAGCCACACACAGATTCATTTCCTCACACTTATTTTGTCACTGTGCGTGTAGGAAAAGAAACAACCCGTGATAGAGTCTCAGGTGCAGTGGAAGCCTTCACCCGAAGGCACCCGACAACAACTTGTACGCCACGTGATCGTCCTAGATCAAGAAACTCTGATGACGGACCTTTCACTAAGCACACGGTAAAAAACAAAGACACACATTGATCATCAAAAGCACTAATCAAGACAAAAAGACTAAACTGCATGTAATTTGTATTTTTTTGGCAGCATGGAGAGTCTGAAAGACCAAACAGTTCCTCAAGATACAGAACATCTTCTTCTAGGAAAGCCGTTGCTGCGTCAAGCTCTCGGCCAAGTTCTGCAGGCGGACCAAGCGAAAGCCGAGCTTCGAGCCGTATGGTTTCATCAAGCGGCGGTGGTGGAAGCGGCAGTGGCAGTGGCCGTCCTTCGACCAGTCAGAGAATCCAAGCTGGATATGAATCTAAGACTCTGTCTTTCTCTCGTGCAACTGCTGCAAGAAACAGTCGTGAAGATCAGTTAAGAAGCTTCGAGCTTCTCTCTCTTCGGAAATAAAAGGAAAATGAGTGAGAGAGACAGCAAACTCCATGAAAACCCATCAGAAGAGAATCTTTTGGTTAGAAAGATTTCATATACTTGAAAGATCTTTACAGGTAAATTTCAGATACAGCCTTGCAGAGATCTTTCCCCACCAACTCTTGTTTGTTTTGTATATTTAAATCGTGATGTGTTTAGACAAAAAAAATGAACAATCAAAAATGTAGAGTCTCCATGTAAAAACGGTAAAGTTGTATCCTTATATTCGATTACTTCGACTATCTGTAATAAACCAAAAACAAAAACAAAAAGTTGTATCATATCTTCTATATTACGAAGTTAAAACACTTTCTTGCAAGGCACACAAGAAGACACAAACGCAGAAACGCTTATTGTTTCTTGCTATTTGTTTTCACTTTCAAATCACAAAATCTATTATACCTCTTAGTTGTTTAGCAGACTTAAGAAATACTGTAATTTCTAATAAACAACTGTTACACAAAAAGTCTATAACCAAAATCTCGAATCTTATACAAAGCTTTTGAGACAGTTTCTCCAACTTAAACAATGCATAAGCTTCTGCGGCGTAGGCTTGAATGTCCATTGGAATGCGCTCAACGTACATTGGAAGACGAACAATCTCTTTCATCTCCTGCAGCAAAACCTCCTTTGTGATATTCTCGTTTATGGTTTTCATCACGCTAAGAGCGGTTCCGACACCATTTGGTTCAGATTTATCAACCCTTATCTGCATAACGACCCATACTTTCTTCTCCTTGTCCCAACAACACTCTAAAAAGCTTCCCGGAGTAACTAGCCGGATGGTCCCAACCATCACCTCTAAACTCAACCGAAAAGTCTTCCATTAGCTTCTTCTTCCCATACTGATGCTAGCATCTCACGACCATCTCTTCCCATCTCAAAGAGAAAGTCAACCGAATCCACAAACTTCCATTTGCCGCTCCGTCACTTACTCCCCGTTGATCGCTACCAAATCGTACACGAGGTACCTCCTCGCTTGGCATCGGCGTCTTTGTCCATCGAGAAACGTGTCTACAACCATCTCTCCATCAAGCAACGTGTAATCATGCAGCGCTCTTTGATTATTACAAGGAAACCACATGTGCACCCTTCTGAAACTGAACTTCCTGTCTATCAGATAACACCCTTGTGGAGTCGGGAGCATCATGTACCTCGTCCCATCTGCCTTCCATGTCGCCTAATATATAGTACCTCTGCCTCAAGAGTTTGAATCCTTCTTTGTCTAAAGATACAGGGTGAGAACCAGGAAACTTCATATGATCTCTTCCTCCACCTCCCCTGACATTCATCATCTTATAACATAATTTACGGTAAGACACCACTATTATGAAAGGAATATCACCACATCTCTTATAATCACTCAATCATATATTATTCTCACTAATAATATGATTTTCTCATTTATTATATGATTCAGGTAGCTGTACTATATATACAGATTTTTACTATTAATACTGTAAAATTATAGACTGTAAAATCTGTGACTTTAAAATAATGATAGTGACTCTAAAAAAGAATTAAAGCTACATTTTTGTAGTTTTTAAAAAACTCATCGGTTATGAAAGAAAAAATGAAGAAAATGACTGTGCGAATATTTAAGAGCAGTTTTATCACTTTTAAGACTAAAACTATTAAAGTGTGATTGAATAAAATATGACTTTAAAGATTGTAATTATTTTTAAAGTCTCTACAGGTTTTAAAGTCCTATTGCCAATAGGAGTCATAGCTTTGTAATTATCTTCGTGTGTAACTGATGACCAAATGCGATGCAGCGGCTAGGGTTGTTAGGCGATCCCAAGGGTGATTCCTAGATCTGAAAAAACTCGTCCCAAAGCACAGTCGAAAGGTAAGGTTTCTCATCTCCATAAGTGCAACGAGGCAGAACCGACTGAAGTTGGTTTAGGTGATAGCAGTTTCAGTCCCCGTCACAGAACAGTCGTTATTGTCGTTACACTAGGTCTCTCGTCCCCCACGTTAGGATATCGGAAAGTTAGTTCTTGGTATCAGAGGTTTTTACAGAATTTTCAGACGAAGCATTCAGAACGCTAGTCGTCCGGCATAAGTCAAGTCTATCAACCAGAACTAGAAGACTTTGTTTTCCCCTACAATAGGGTGTATCTTCGGGATCTTTCCGGATATCAATAATGGCCTTCGGAGTTGATGAATATAGACGAAGCGAGAATACCAGTAGGCTCAGGAGAAGATTGACAGAGGAAGATGACATTATCGAGATCCCTGAGTTTGACTTTTCGGATCTGGTCGAAAAGTTCAAGTTAACATTGGTGGGAAGAATGTTCCATGCTGAAGGTAGAAACATTGATGCTCTGTTATCCTTGATCCCTAAAGCAAGAATTTGGAATGTAGAGGGGAGAGTTCGAGGGACAAACCTGAACAATGGAAAATTCCAATTCGATTTCAACAATGAAGAAGACCTGCAGAGAGTCCTCAACCAAAGACCCTGTCATTTTAATCGTTGGAGTTTGTCGCTGGAAAGATGGCAACCAACAGTAAAGGAAGATTTCCTTAACACAATGCGCTTCTGGGTCAAAATATCAGAGCTACCGATTCATTACAAGAAAGAGGCGACATTCAGAGCAATAGGAGAAAAACTGGGAGAAGTTATTCAAGTTGACGAAAAAGGCTCAAGAGTGCAGATATCTCTCAACGTGATGAACCCCTACAATTCGTGAGAAGAGCTGGATTCAAAAATGGGGATATTATTAAAGTAACCATAAAGTACGAAGATCTCTACACATGGTGCTATACGTGCAAGAGATTATCACATGAGGAAGGTACTTGCCCAAATCTCACTGAAGAACAAAGGGAACAGAATAGGCTAGCAAGGATTGAACAGAAAGAACAAGAAGAAAAAGCTGCAAGGGAGATGTTTTCATACAATGAGAACCGGGAAATAGAAAGAGCAAGAGCTACAAAAGGACCAGAAAACTCAGGAGACCAAGGGGGATACAGACCTTCAAGAGTCCGTTTGGAAAGCAGAGACCTACGCACAACTATACAAAACAAAAGAGATGACTGGGGCAAGGAAGTGTGGAACAGATTGGAAGAAAAACAGTATGAGAATTATCTCTGGAATCGGGAGCGATTTCACCCTTACTCAAGATATACATATGAGACAAACAGAAGACAAATTGATAGATATCCTCCGAGAATGGAGTGGAGACCACGGTCCTCGACAGTCAAACAGTCGGAGAGAGAGAAAGAAAAGAGAAGAGTGCCCCCTATATCAAGGAGTAACAGAGAGACGACCTTAAATGGATACTCTGGTGTTGATTCTCAACGCACAATATCGGAAGTCCAGGAAACCGGAGGACACATAACAGCCCAAAGAATGGGATTCCTAGTTAGACACGATGGAGAGACAGAGGATGACCGGATCAGAAGAATCAGGGGGAAAGCACTGATGACAGAGACCTCGAGATCAAACGACTCCCCATTGGTTCAAAGAAAGACCCAGACCCCGAACCAAAACCAGTCAAGTGAGCAACAGGAAGCAACGCAATCTATCCTCCAAATGGAGAGAAACAGAAAAGCGGTTGTTATTAGAGAACCCGAAGACCAGGTGAAAAAGTCAAAGGTCCAAGATGAACAAAACAGAGAGAGGGGCGAGCATAATGCTGGAAAGGAGAATGATATTATTAGCCCTGTAGCCAATAGTGCAGCAGACCTGGATTTCGATAGAAGAATGCAGGAAGAACTGAGACAAATGGAGCTAAACAGGGAGGATATTATGGATGAAGAAATGATAGATAACGATAATCTGTTGGACGAAGAAGTCGAGCCTTTAGGGGAAAAGATAGATGCAATCTCTCAACTAGAAGAAGAGCAACACGAAAGGGACCTGAGTTCAGAGCCGCCTACGATTGAAACAGTCCCAGAAACACAATTTGCAGGAGTTGAGCCAAAACAGAGGGAGAACAAAAGCGGGGACAGAAAAGACGGGAGAGAGACGGAAGATCCCCCTAAAAAGAGAACAGCGAGAGGGCCTGTTAGAGGAGGATCCCCGACGTTAAAAAAGTTTCATGATATACGTACGAGACCGTCCCCCAAGAAGAAGTCAAATGGAAACCCTCGCTCAAGTAATAACAAGACTTTGCAACTCCCTCATATGGAGGTGATCCCTTCGGCTTTAGGAAAGAAGAAAGCTGCTACTTTAGGTTCGGTATTGTCCCAGAAGCCACCCAGTAAGAGGATATGAATACAATAGCCTGGAATTGCCAAGGAGCAGGAGCGGAACTAACAAAACAACATCTTAGAGAACTCCATCGCTGCTTTCGGCCAGAGTTTCTTTTCCTTTCTGAGACTAAAAACTCCTTTTCTTTTATGCAAGACTTACAAGTTTCTTTAAATTATGATAATTTGTTCATTGTTGATCCTGTTGGGAGAAGCGGAGGACTCGCTTTGTTTTATATAAACTCTTTTTCGGTTAAGATTTTGTTTTCTAGCAATATGATGATAGATATTGAAGCCATGATCGAAGGCAAGCAAGTGTTTATGACATTTGTGTGTGGCGATCCGGTCATCGAGCACCGAGAGGCGGTCTGGGAACGCCTTACAAGAATCAGCCTTCGACGCACAGGCTCATGGTTTATGATAGGCGATTTCAACGAGATAACAGGAAACCATGAAAATAAAGGTGGAAGAAGACAGGCTGATACGGCATTCCTCCCTTTTAAGTGCATGCTGGATAACTGTGGTATGATAGATTTTTCTTATAAAGGGAATTCATTCTCATGGGTGGGTTATCGCAGTTCCGGAAGAATTCAATGCAGGCTTGACAGAGCTATTGGAAATGAAGACTGTCACAATGATTTTTCCCACACTAATGTGAAGTATATGAAACTATGGAGATCTGATCATAGGCCTGTATTGGCAAGGATCCAATCTCGGGATAGGCGAATACAGAAAAGCTTCAGATTTGATCGAATATGGTTAGATAAAGATGGATTCTTCAATGTCAGACAGCTGGGGATCAGGGATTCAAGAAGCAAATGGAAATCTATATATGAGGATAAGAGAATGCAGGAAAGCTATCTCTAACTGGAGAAAATGAAACCTATCCAATGCAGCTAAAAAAATTGAAGCCATCAAAGAACAATTAGAGAAAGCTCAGTTAGACGATGCCATACCCAACGAAGAAGTTCTAAACCTTAAATGGATGCTTTGTTCAGCATTTAGGGACGAGGAAATTTATTGGAAGCAGAAGAGCAGAGTAAACTGGTTAAAAAAGGGAGATAGAAATACTAAATTCTTCCATGCCTCTACAAAACAGAGAAGAGCACGAAACAGGATAACAAAGCTCAAGGCAACTAATG